GGCTCTTCTTGTGCAGCCTACACTTAGGGAATTTATTTTTGTATCTTTGTGCCGAGGAAAAGAGGTTACTCTGCCTCCCTTGGATGAGAAGTCAAGGGAAAGCAAACAGGCCCCAAGAGCATTTTCCTAGCTGGGCATGGCAGCACGGGGAAGGGGTTTCAGACACTGACAGATCCCAAGTGACTGAAAATGTGCGTTGAGCAGATGAAATGTGGCTCTGTGCTCATGGCAAAGCTCCTCCTGCTGACTGGCTGGCGCAGAGACTTGTTGCTGTGGTTATGAAACCACCAAGCTGAGCCATGAAAAAGGCTGCTGAGACAGCCGTGGCTCATGGCTATGCGAGATGGATAATCTGGAAGTAGCAGGGGGCTGCCTGGAAAGTCAGGACATTTTCTGTATAAAATACCATACAAAAAGATGGGAGTTAATCCATGTCCCCATCTGACCTCCACTTCTGCAAGTGCAGCTTGGTGCTCTTACATGTAGTTAGTTGCTTGAGCAAAATTTTGACATTCAGAGTCATGCAGAATGTTCTTCAGTCCTTGTAGTCATAGAACTAGTAAAAATCAAAAAAGTTCAAAAAATAAGCTTTTAGGACTTGTAATTGCAGAGGAAAGCTTGGAAACATAGGCTTCAAATAAACCCTAAGCTTTAAAGAAGTCACAGTTCTTCTGGTTTAAATACAGACTATCTCACCAGGTGAAGTTGATCTGACATGCAGGATTATGATTTTCATTCCTGAAACAGGCCTCTCACTTTTAAGAATAACTGCTGTGCAGCTACACATGCACAGAGCACAGCAAGGAAATAATTTGGGTTTCTTTCTCTGAGCAAACCATGTTAGTAGGGAAGTGATGTGTGCCCTGGTATGGAAGCAGAACATGACCACAGTGCAGAGCAAGATCCACAACTTAATTTACTCCTGGATTCGTCTTGACATACAGTTTTGAACTTATTAGATTGACCATATTGTAAATATTCCTCCTGTTGAACTGAATGAGACTTTTTATGCAGGCTTTGTAATAGTATTCATCTTGAAATATGAGCATATAACTTAAGGCATTAACTTATGCCACTTAAATGGCAGAAGTTAATGCCATTTAGCTTACTCTCTAGATTTAACTTAAAAAATATTTTTGAAATTCTCCTGGAGTCTTAATATAAAACTTAAACTCTGTTTAAGGATAAGCAAGAGGATAAGCGCTAGCTAGAAACCTTCATATAATTTAGTATGGCTAGTCAATAGTATAACACAGAGTTTATACAAAGAAATATTTATTTCTATTGTTTAGAGTGAAATTGAGTTTAGAGTAAAAATGAATTACCATGTTACAGAATGTGGTCAAACTAATACAGGTTTTTAGAACATCACAAAAATAATAGAGCTGTGAAAAATGGAAGATGTTTAGAAAGTGTGTGCTGCTTTTGTTTTCTTGGAAACCTTGATAACCTGAGGTAACAGAGTGCCTTTGTGGTTTAAATGAGAAAGTTCTTTAGTATTTTTAGTGCATGCTGATTATTAAGAGGAGCCAGTATTTGTGTAGTTAGTCATATACCTATTTGGAAGTTACAATTCCAGTGTATTTTAGCATTTTGAGATCTTTGAGGAGTTATAAAAATAAGGCCTATCTTCATTTTTAAACTTTCAGTTGTGCTAGTATGTACTCTAAAGTGACCAACTCTTGCTGTCTGGGCTTTCTTGCTGCTGTTTTATTTTCTTTTTTTAAAGGAAGATTTTGTTTGCATGATTTATAGTTTTTCTTTTAAACATTACAGTAGCCATTATATAACACAGTCTATTGTCAGTAATCTAGTTCTGAGAATCCCTCAAGATAGAGAAAATCATAGCCAGAAAGACAGATGATTCTGATCTAATTGTAGGCTTTGAAGATTGGGATATGTACCAACTGTTAGGTAGCAGAGCATAAACAGCTTCATGTTTTGCTGATGATACGAAACTGGGAGGAGTAGCTGATACCCCAGAGGGCTGCGCTGCCATCCAGAGGGACCTGGACAGACTGGACAACTGGGCATGAGAAACCTCATGCAATTCAACAAGGCCAAGTGCAAGGTCCTGCACCTGGGGAGGAATAACCCCAGACACCAGTACAGGCTGGGGACCGACCTTGTGGAGAGCAGCTCTGCAGAGAAAAACCTGGGTGTCATGGTGGACGACAAGTTGACCATGAGGCAGCAGTGTGACCTCGTGGCCAAGAAGGCCAATGGAATCCTGGGGTGCATTAAGAAGAGCGT